AGATTGATTGGCTTCAATTACAGGACGAAATCTCCACAAAGGCTTAACGTTTCAGGATGTCCAGTCACTTGCGAGAAATCCATGCCACTGTACGATCAAATTAGTGTCGTCAAATCCCCACGATAATGAGTGATAACTAGCCTGATTGCCCCCATATATAACCTCAACGAATTTTGTGGCCTGTGAAGGTTTTCTTCAAAAACAGGCAAGCTCACGTTCCGGTGCCACCCCAACGGTTCGAACAGTTGGTAAACGTGCGCCTACTTAGGAGTAGCTTCGTAAACTCACAACGCTGTCAAGACCGGAGAGCGAGATGAATGTTGCGAAGAAACCCTGTTCAAAGCAAATGAACGGAACGACTGAAAAAACGTTTACTAGCGCCTCAAACATTTCAGGTCACCAGCTGTAGTCAGTACCCCGATGTATCTCGTAGTAACTGTCAACTTTACGGCACTTGACTCGTTGCTGGCATCAAAACCATGTAGGTAACCGATGTCGATCTTACCCATAAATAAGTTTACTACAGCGGGAAAATGGAGTGTGCGGAGAACGTACACACAACCGGGCCGCCTTGCACGCCGTGGCTAAAAGTGTGCGGGCGAGATGGCTCAGTGACCGGAAGATCGGTGGTTCGAACCCGATTTCTGCGTCTCGACTTCCCCTGTCAAGGCTTGGGCAACCTGGCAGTATGCCAGCCCTCGTGCCGCCTTCGGCAGTTAGGCAAGGGTGTTACAGCTGGACGAACCAAACGGTCAACGAGAGACCCATGAACGAAGACATCAGAAAGACGGAGAGTGATCAAAAGCATCCAGTCTACTTACAAAAATACCTCACAGCTCGTGATTAAATGCCATTCACGGTCTTGTAAATATCAGTATCAAAACAAATTTTTGCAAGTATCGTCAGAGGGAGATTTTGTTGGCATGTCCGGCGCTGTTGAAGATTCGAGTTGGCCGAGGCTCAGTGAAGGCCCATTCGTACCAGACATGACGCGAACTGACCGCACGCCACATACTGACTGTCAGGCGCTCTCCAGATTGCAGAAATATCGGGTGATCGACGGGGAACACGAACGGGAACCATGATACCATCTGGGGACTGTGCCGTCTTGGATGAGTACCTATCGGGATAGGGGAAGGGTGGACAGAGAGACTTAGAAGTACACAATATTCGACCGAACAGCTAAACAGCACCATAATCGTTAGTCTGTACTTGATCGGTCTAAATCAGACAAAGATTGATATACGTAGTAAGTGCAACCTACTGAGCGTCACGTCTCCAAACAGCGTTGCTTCAAAGTAACCGGCCAATCCATGAACCACTGCATCGTGTTCCATGAGGAATGTACAAGTGGCGAAGCGAGAATTCGACTCACGGGGATCTGGATGAGGTGAGAGGGGAAACCAATCTCAGCAGTTTATTGCGCATGTGACAAGAAAAACGTGCAGGAAGTGACACGTTGATATCTGCCTATCTGGTAACTTAGTCATTTCAGGCAATGGAAAAAAGCCAACGGACTACAAGTTCCACTCAACTGGGTTTTCGAATAGACAGGTTCGCCGTTTAGTTCTTCGCGATCCAGACCCTTTACCTCTCTTCTGCAATTTCGAAACATTCGATCCCTTCAATCAATCCATTTCATAAAACCAGCAAGAAGATACACAATGCGAAACGGTAACATTCCAGTCGTAGAAGTAAAACATTTTATACATGCAGGTAGAAGACCAAGTAACGAGGTGGTGTGTTCCGCAGAGGGTAGTGCAGCTCGGAACTTGGCTTTCTGTTCCGTCCACTATGGCACATCAAAAGGCACGACATCCTGACGACTTTGTGGTCACTAGAGTTGTAATCGAACCGTAAGCCAAGTCAAATCACGATGGATTAAGCACCCGTAAAGTCTAACAAATCAGTCTGTTTCAACGAATTCTATCGTGAGCCGGCAACAATGCACCTGTGAGCCTCACCCGTGGATTCGCAGTCAAGTGCTCAAGCCAGTCGCTGGTCACGCACGCTCTCTACGGATGTTTAGACGAGCGAGACTGGCAGAACAGCCACGAAAGTACGAGACCGAAGGTGTGGATTCGACTATGGTGAAAGATGGATTCAATATTACGTCAAATATTCGGTGAAAATCATATCCAAAGCAGGAGGATGCCATGCGAATCACCTTCAAGCAGCAGATTGTGGCCCAACAATGTAACCAAAGGATCCGATTGGACCGATGCGGGTCGGAAGCAATGTTCTGATTCGTCCAAATGTAAGCCAATCAACTCGGTGCTTACTTATGACTATGTAGACACCCGCGTGACCTTGGGAATAACTTTTTGGCCGTTTTGCACAAACAACTGTAGTGATTTTGCTTTCCCCAATAAAAATTTATCTTACTTTCTGACAATAGATCTAACGGTAAACTAAGAATCAGAATAGGAGTTCGAAAGCCACATCAAACAAAAGGCATAGACTTACCAGGTTTTGGATGAACGAATGTAAAAACAGGTTGAGGTTCGGAAAGAATTTGGCAGTTTGTGAGACGCACGACAAACGGCGTATCATGAGCCGAATTGATGCGCGAACAGCTGGTCTGTGGTAAGGGGGGAGGTCGGACAGGAAACAGAATAACGGAATGAGTCGGACGCAGTCTAAATGAGCAAAATATAGACCGGAAATTCGTAAAAAGAGATCGTTCAGCTGCAATGCCCTTTTGGTGCCTGACTGCCATGTCACCAGAAGGAAGCACGAGGACTAAGAAACTGCCAGGTTGCTTCGACAAAAATGAAACCCATCCTAATCAAAACTGTAGAACCCTTTCGGCGCCTAACTGTTAGGCCACCTGAAGAAAGCAAGAGGGCTAGGATTCCGTCAGGTTACCCAAGGCTAGACAGGAGAAGTCGAGAGGCAGAGGTCGGGTTCCAGCCACGCAGCTTCCGGTCGGTAAATTCACGCTCTAACCATGAACCATCTCGCCTCAGATCCAGCATTACCGAATGCCCGTAAAGTGATCAACTACATAACTCAAAGAAATCAAGAGAGGATGAAACCATGTGTAAGATGGGAGAAAAGTGAAACAAGTAAACGGGTGTAGGAGGCAGAGTGGACTGAATATCCCACAATGCGCGTTTTACAATGAAACATCACACGTGAAGCAGCATCGCACGTTGAACTCCTTAAAAAAACTTGGAAAATTCTGTTTCCGAAGTAGGAGACAGTAGGAGCTCCCCTATAACCAGGAGGCATTCTTTTGGTGCCACGGATACAGACCTGTCACGATCTCCTTTCGTCCTGATGGCCCAAAAAACCGGAAGACAAAACCAATAAAAAGTTGTAGTTAGCAAAAACGGTCGATTTACAACACAGTGGAGAGGACCCACTGCATCGAGCAAGCTCTAAAATATCCAGATACAAATGAAAGTATATTACTCCGGACCTAAAGAGAAAAAATCCTGTAGAAAAGGGCATTTCCATATCTCCGAATATGTTTCCTCTAAAGTGTTTTACAAGGGATTAACCACGGCATTTTGTTTAGTACTCGATGATACACAGAAGAGATTAAGGGAGCCAAATTCCATAAGATCATTCGTAACGCCTTAGAATCTATCACGCTTGAGGTAAGGTGGCCCAAGTGGTTAGAGCGCGAATTTACTGACCAGAAGGTCTGTGGTTCGAACCCGACCTCTACCTCTCGACTTCCCTGACTAGGCCTGGGAAACCTAGCAGTATTCCAGCCCTCATGCAACCTTCGGGTGGCATGGCAGCTGGGCACCGAAGGGGTGCTGCAGCTGAACGATCTATCACGCTTAGAACCGCACAGTTACAACCTCCGCCGCAAGCAAAACGCCGCACTTTTTCTATGTATGGAACTTCTATCTGAAAAACTCATTTAGGGAAAGTTTTGTCAATTGATTACCCTGCAACGTCATGCCTCCGAACAAGCACGTCCGGCAGTTTCATTCGCGACTCTGACCTCATTTGACCCGCTACAGTGCAACAAGGACATTATAAATGTCAAGAAGGTCAGATCCCCGAAAATATCTCACAGAAGGCCCGAAACCTACTGAGATACTCAAGTCCTACAAAAATCGCAGTAAGGGACTCGTCAAGCATCCAGGCCGAAAAAGCCAGCTTTCGATTGGACACTCAAGTAGTCAATCAATTCAACAACAGCCGACGATGATGAGCGTTCACCCAGAGCTAATCTGACAGCCTGGATTCAAGGTCAACAGTGGGCTTTAAATACCGCGTTGCTCCTTCTAATTTTTGCACTCGCTTGTTCGCAAAAATGCTGTTACGTTCCTTGGGGAGCCTGTATAGCAGTTAGATACCACAATAAGTTATCGTCCATGTGCTTTCAAATGTCTGATCTGTTTTACCACGCCATGGAGGTTTTATCAAGGACTCAGCTGAAGTGTTTATCCCTCTCCAAGAAAAAGGTTTAGCTTTCCGGTAAAGGGGAACGAAACAATTAAAGGAACGTAGGAACTGCGCAACCGAACGGGGAGCACCTGAGAAAACAAAGGTTTCAGAAATTACGGAATAGGGGGCTCATGTTTTGACGGCACCATGATTTATGCAGGAAGAGGCCTCCACCCGGAACCACACAGGGGACAGTGATGAGATACAGGAATATTACTCCAAGAATAGGCTGATGTGCCAGCAGGCAGCTTGGTCTGCTCACAAGTTACATACACATACAGTTTATTCGGAAAGTCTCAAGCGAGGGGTTGAACGGATCAAGTAAAGATGTTAAACTTGATGACTTGACCGACTAGCATGCGTGTTAAGCGGATCGATCAGAACATATTCCTAGGCTGTTGTACAGTGGTGTTCACAGTTTCAACCGCCGGTAATCCGGGAAGAGCTGCCTGGGAAGATTCGAAAGTCGCTGTCTCAGAACGATTGCTCGTGTGGGTTGGTGTCGGATCCATAAGGAGACAACTGGGAAGCGAGTTTTCGGTTGTACAACCGGGACTTCTATTGAAATGCATGTGTCCAGCACCAGAAGCTGCGTTGATTGGTGCATATGCTGCGTACGCTTAACCATTGTCTGCTGAAGAGAGTGCTGTTTTCCATGCCCAACTCAGAGTGGCGGAAGCAGAGAGGTGGCCAACCCTTGACCTGACAGAGGGGTATGAAGGGGATCACGAAACGTTTGGGTTCTGTCGGTGCTACTCATCTTCCAGGGTAAGGACCGCGTGATCCTCACTGTGCCTGGTTAGAGACATTACAAGATATGGCTGCAAACCGATGTCAGTGGCGTTTTTGTTGTCAGTTTTTGTCCAGATTGCCTGAATGAGTGTTTGGAGGTGTAGGCACCTCGGAATGACTGTAGTACGCTAGCACCAAGTTCCTTCGCTTTCTGCCTTTATTCTTTTCTTCACAAGAAGGCTTTCAAATAAATCATGGTTGAACTGCAGCGAAGAATCGCTGTCGAACACTGTCATGCTGTCGATGATGAATCTGGGAAGATAAGCTTGGATAGCTATGTAGGCGATGCGGGAATACAGCAGTGTCGGTGTAATCCTCACTGGGAAGGTGTACGCTGAAGGCAGCAACCCGGATGGATGAGCGTCAATGGGCGCGCAATATTCCGGTCATGAATGGAACAGCGCGGGCATCTCGCATTATCTCACCAGAAAGCAGACTTATGCAATCACTCAATCACTTCTGGGTTGGGGAAATCCTAGGAACGTACCAAAGCGATGATGTGATACAGGAGTAATAGCGGGAAAACACCAACGTTTGTCACTATGGGGACAGGGGTGGCCATATCCTACGGCAAATAGTAACAGCACAATTATTGATAGAAAAAAGGGGCGAGATGGCCCAAGTGGTTAGAGCGCGAACTTACTGACCGAAAGGTCCGTGGTTCGAACCCGACCTCTGCCTCTCGACTTCCCCTGTCTAGGCTTCAGTAACCTGGCAGTATCCCAGCCCTCGTGTTTCCTTCGAGTGGCATAGCAGCTAGNCACCGAAAGGGTGCTACAGCTGAACGATTGATAAAAAATAACAAAATAATCATCCCGTTGTAACAACTTTTTGGCGCCTAGCTGTCAAGCCACCCGAAGGAAGCACCACGGCTGAAAGATTGCCGGGTTGCCCAAGTCTAGATAGGATGGGTCGAACTGCCGGATTTGGCCTCGAAGTACGGACCTTCCGGTCAGTAAATTCTCGCCATAAACACTGAGCTAATTCGAGATTGATTGGTTGCAACTGTCGTCAAGTCCTTTTGTTTCCTCGTGTCGGTAAGAGGGTAAGTTTTCATACGCCCGAAGGTTTCGTTTTGGGCCGGACCACCAAGTAAACACCTAGAAGTGAGAAACATCGTTTCTTATAAACCAGGGGTGTTGTAATCATATTCGGCAGACTTACCGGATCCCTGGATCGTTTTGTCTCATTGTGGAATTGCAAGGACTGGAGTGGTGCCACGTAGGAAGTGTATGAACAGGGGATACTGATACCGTCCGCTGAAAAGTGGCATGGTGGGAAACGGGAGTGAAACAAGCAAAACTACGATAAATTGGCATCCGGGAATATCGAGGAGGTGGCAGAGTAGATCAGGAAACGACAAGAGCCTACAGAGGAGAGAGGAACAGCCTACATGAACAGTCTAGCCGATGTTCGATTTTGCATCCTCATTGGCTAGTCTCATCGTGGAGATTAAAATCGTCCGGTTGACCTTTACCTGTGTATGTGCCAAATAGATGTTCCAAAACCCGCACGCTCAGATCAATAAGTGGGAGGAAATACTTAAAATCAAGGACACAATAATGCGACTAGCTGTTCACTGGCCTAAACTAATTGATGGAACGCGAGTAGTTGGTTGTTGGTCGAAACTAGGCAGTGGTCATCGTGGAGGATGTTGTCAACAGAAAGTCAGTGGTTCCAAATCGCTTTTATCTAGGCCCATCAGTGTCGGGAAACCAAAAAGTCACCACACAACAATACCAAACGGCATTGAGTGTGGACCGATGTGGAAGGCCACATAAGACAGATCTATCTTTACCGCCTGCTGAGTTCAAATAAGTTCGAAAAGCTTCGACTGGTTAAAAGTTTCCCCAAATGACTAGAACTACTCCATAAAACCCTTCCGGCGCATAGCTGTGCGAAAGAAGAACGAGGGTTAAGATGCGACCAGGTCGCCCAAGCCTAGACAGGAGCAGTCGAGATGCCGGAGTTGGGTTCGAACCACGAACCTTCCGGTCAGCAGATTCGCGCTTTAATCCCTGAGCAATTTTGAGCTCTGAAATCCATTTATTATGGTCATACTGCGACGACACATGTCGAGGTGTGGTCATCAGTACCATCCAGCGCCTTTTCCTCCTCCTGCTCCTCGTCACCATGGACAGCAGTCCATGAGAAATCGTTCAGATGTAACACCCTTCCGGCGCCTAGCTGCCATGACACCCGAGGGAAGCACGAGGGCTAGGATAGTGCCAGGTTGCCCAAGCCTACACAGGGGAAGTCGAGAGTCTGACGTCGGATTAGAACCACGGACATTCCGACCAGTAAATTCGCACTCTAACCAATTGAGCCATTTCGTGCCCGACTGCAGTACACCAGTATTACATCGCTGCACCTGACAACGAACCCCGACTCCAGAACCTTAGTGACAGAAAACTACCCACCCCAACAATAGCATGGTTTTTTGAGAATAAGCGGTGGAAAATTACAGAGAGCGTACCGGTATTTAAAGCACACTTTGACCTTGAATAAAAGCTATCCAGTTGGCGTTAACTGGTTGAATATTCTGGAGTTTTTATCGGAAATATGACTTTTCAGTCAAATAATAGCACTCTATCGCCAATGAAGTCAACTATCCTTAGAATATTAGTGTGTTGGTGACAATGAGTCTGTTCTCGTCGCCGCCAAATGCCACAGATTGCCAAATGCATGCAATATGGGTTCAATTAGGACATACGGTTGACGTAAACTCGGGGACTGCACCTACCCGATGAACCTCAAGAAGAGCGAAACTTGTGGTGGGCTGTAGAAGGTTTTCCAGTAACCTTATGCATAGTGTATTACGAACATAAGAGGTGAGTATTTGGTCACAAGAGACATAGCGAAGCAGATTTTCGGTTCCCAGGGGCCTCTACTGTTTCATACGCCTTTTCAAACTGCGGTGCATACTACTCGTGATCATGGGACACAGCAGCTTACAGGGTCTTAGTAACCGTAGTTCACTCAGAACATGTGAGGCGTGCACGATCCGAATCTGACGCCAATTTCGATTGGCGGACGAAGACCACAGTGCGCAAAACTTGACCATGTCGCTTATGAGGCAGTGGGGTGGCCCACCCAATATCCGTTTAGATATTAACGCTAGGCCTTGCATTCGGTTGGTTTATGCGGTGTTTTCAACGCAGGCAAAATCACCTGCTCACAGATGTCTTCCAACAAGGGGGAGGATCGCGTCCAAGTGAATGGCAGAGGGGAACGCCAGTGTCAGTGGACAGTAGGGGGCGATGGCAAGGAGAATAAGACGGTGTTTGACATTTCACCATACCACCGCATGATACAAATTATACCATAAGTGCTCACTCGATGTTGCTACTCTTTTACCTCATCACTACTGCTTTGATCCACAATGCCGTAGAGCACTCAAACACGAGCCTGGTTTCGTTTGCTTGGTTGACAAAGCTAAAACGGTACAGTCATCTTCCGAAACCTGCATGAAGATCTCGTCATAAACTGGTCAACGACCGTTGAGAACTTCACATTACACACTCGTAGCTAAGTGTTGAGGTACACGGGAACTTCTCATCTTCGACGAGATTAGGCACATTTTCTGATCTGGCTCTGCTCTGCTTCTGAAAACAGTCGTGTTATGAATACCACTCGACAGGCAACGACAAGCACCTCCTGTCTGTTCCACTCACAGGCGACCGTTTTCAAAGGGTGTCGTCGCTTCTGATGTGAGCACTGTCCACAAAAAGTTGGCATTCCAAATTGCGTAATAACGGAGCCTTTCGAAGCACACGTGGTCCAACCAAACACCAAAGTGGAGTTATTCAATGGTTGGGGGCGAGATGGCACAAGTGGTTGGAGCGCGAATTGATTGACCGGAAGGTCCATGGTTCGAACCCGACCTCTGCCTCTCGACTTCCCCTATCTAGGCTTAGGGAACCGGGGAGCATCTCAGCCCTCGTGCAACCTTCGGGTGGCGTGGCAGTTTGGCACCGGAAAGGTGCTACAGATGAACGATTTTTTTCATTTAATGGTTGCTCAGTAGTTACGGCACGAGCTCACTGACTGGGAAGTCAATGGCCTGAACCCAACCTCTGCACCTCAACCTCTTTGTCTTGGCTTCGACGACCTGGCAGTATCATAGCCCTCGTGCTTCCTTCGGGTGGCATGGCAACTGGACATTGAAAGCGTGTTACAGCTGAACGATTTATTGTATCGATATTATGTTCATGTGGGTATTTTCATCACCTTGTTAGGCCCAGCCCCAGTGGAACATGGTGATAGAGAAAATAAATCGGCTAGACATACTCCATACAGATTTTTGTTAGTTTCCTGCCTGCCTGAAGCTCAACGATCGCATTTGGATGCCTGATGAGATAGATACTTTAGTTCCAAATGTGCACACAGCAACGAGAACCATAAAACATTTTCATAGACTGTTCACATGGGTCATAAGAATGAAATGAAGCTAATCCTTCCAAAATAAACAAACATCAGTTATTTCAGTGTTGCTGCACAGATTTGACAGCGGGAGACACCTTTACTGAAACAATTCCGATCGTATCTGTTGTGAAGAAATGATGATGAGGGTGGTAAATCTGAGCTGATAAAAGTTGCACACCCGGTACCTAGCCATTCTGCTTCAAATTTCCCGATGCACAAACGCTGTGCGCTATTCAGACATATTAGACTCTATGAAACGTTCGGGTGCTGTCGGTGCTACACACCTTCCAGGATGGGGACCGAATGATCCTAACTGTGCCTGGTTGGAGACGCTACAAGATTTGGCTGCCAACCGATGTCAGTGGCTTTCTTGTAGTCAGTTTCTATTCAGATTGCCTGAGTGAGTGTCTGGAGGTGTAGGCACCTCGAAATGGTAAGTGGTAAGCTAGCACTAAGTCCCTTCCCCGTCGACTCTTTACAATAAGGCTTTCGAATAAATCATCGTTGTACGGCAGTGAAGCGTCGGTGTTGAACACTGATATCATGCTGTCGATGATGATGATGAGCCGATGTCGTTAGCGAAGAATCTTTAGAGACATTCAATTTGGGGGGATAGTACACGGCAAAAACAAGAAAAAGCCGTAGGACCAAAGGTTCTACCAAAAGTGTGACGATACCTTTGAGATATGGTTGAGCACCATCCAAACATTCCGGGCTCAGCTCGTTATCCCCGAAGGAACCCAACAGCTCACTGACAAAGATATCCGCCTTTTCCGGCATATTCAACCGACGCATGTCTCCACTGACCAGATGGACATCCAATCCGCGCCACTCATGTGTCATGCGATCCTGAAATAAGTAGACAAAGGAGGGCATAGCAGACAAACACACCAAGTTTCATATCAATTTGGTTTCTCTGGGAGAGTTGAATTTATCCTTTATGCTACTCTGAATGCGTTGCACAATGGCTGCCTCATGTTTCCATTGGTAAGACAACAAAGATATCGCAGTATATTCATATAAGGAAAGGAAACGAACAACAGAATAGAGTTTACAGAATATAGCTGACTGGTTCATCATCATGATGTCTGACGAACAAGTTCATGAGGTACTTGAAATTGTAGTTTAAAACACTCCTGCCTTTTCAAAACTGACATGTGAGTAGTATAATCTCAGTTTCATTATTGTCCTTGTTGACTCACAGTGAGCAGTGTGATGATCAAAACAGCTGATCGCACGGACCGAAGCGTTTCAAAGTTAAAACTATAAACGAAATTACAGCGGACCCACACACCTCCCCCCAAGCAAACCGATCGAACGGGAACCAGTCCAAATAAATCCTCATTGGAGATCTTGTCGGCTGAGGGTTGGTCACCTGAACGTAACTCAAAGCAGGCGGGGAACCAAATCGCCCTCAACGCAGTGTTAGCAGATCGGTGCAAATTCGGAAGACTGGTAGCAGAAAAATTCGCACACCGGTTGAAATGTAGCCTGTTGACAGTGAGTAGAATGACTTAATTGGTGCTATGTCAAACCATGTCACGGTAACAGCAGTGTACCGTCCAGTTCGGAATAACTTGGGCTTATGACGTAATAAGCATTCTGCAGAATTTTTCCACTGCATTGAGTTCAGTGCTAGACGCGTTCTCCAGACAGAAGAAAGCGGCACTAGACAACAGAAGTTATCAGGAGGAAATCCATCACACGTTTTGTCTCAATTGGGGTACACCGGATGAATCAGGCGGAGCTGAACTTCAAAGTTCACACACAACACAAACTTGAAAAAATTCGCTCATCTGTAACTCCCTTCCGGTGCTTAGCTGCCATGCCACCCGAAGGAAGCACGAGGGCTGGGATACTACCAAGTTGCCCAAGCCTAGACAGGGGAAGTCGACAGGCAGAGGTCGGGTTCGAACCACGGACCTTTCGGTCAGTAAATTCGCGCTCTAACTATTTGAGCCATCTCGCTCCAAGCGGTCAACGAACCCACTGTCAGACGCTGTGAGGAAGTGATTCTTTCTGAAGATTTTCGACACACTGGATAGACTTGCAAGGACAAATCGAATATCAGTGGAACTACTGGAAGGCAAAAACCCTGTTTGCTACATTGTTTCGGTTAAACTATCCTCCAAAAAGGCTTGCTAAGGCGGTAGAATGATGCACTGTGGTTTCTCCTCGGCACCGACGCTGACGGTACAGAGATCTGTCAGTACCTTACAGAATGACAGGGAATTATTGCTCAGAATAGGAAGATTCCCAAGCCATTTGTGACTGCTGTCACTCTGAGACATCATGTGAAGCACACGTCGTTTAGAGCCTTAGCTGGACCGTAGTAATTCTGATAACACCTGTCAAAGTTATGAAAGGGTCTTTCCACAAAAAGACAGGCCCTACCGTGACGGATGGGTCTAGCGAAACCCACACGACTGACCCGATTCAAAGGATATTTCCAAATCTGATCAACCTGTACTTGCTACTATTTTCCGCGCACCGTGGGGTTGGTGATTTAGGGATTTTTGGGCTGCATGTACTTTTCTTTCTTGACTGAAAGTTTTCTCATAGCCAAAAATTGCACCATGTTACGGTTATTGAAAGAAGACTGCGGAACTACTAATACTTTACCTGAAGGGTTAAACAGCGCGTTGGGGTTCTTTTCAACAACGTAGATTCTAACAGGACATGCAGCCTTTTCTGAAGCGTTCAAAGCCGCGTTGACCAATGGTCCTCGACCCGCACCAAGAACCATAATTACCTGGCAAACTGATGTTGGCTTATCACCTGTCTCGGCCAGAACTTCTGACGTGGGTCCGTTTGGGACGGTTGGTTCATTGGTTTTACGAGAACGATGTAGGAGAGCCAGGTAGATAGCCTGAAGGAAAGAAAACAGAGATGGAGAAAGGACGACGCTAGGATCACGTCCTGGAAAATAGTCAAACCTATTCAGGCTAGTATTGCTGGGTTCCAAAATATGGGATTAATGGAACTGGGGAAAGCGAATCACCTTCACGGCAAAGACCGCGGAACTGGCTGGCATAGACCTTCATGTAACCTCAGTAACAGAACATTCAAAAGGACTGTACGTGGAAACGAACCAGTGTAAGGTTTTAAAGCGATTGGAAAAATTGTGGGACCGATTGAGAAGTCCTCGTTTCAGAGGAGGCTACCAAAACAACCGGTGGTTTTTAGCTAGTCAACGGTGGCTGGAATGATGACCTCTTAATCTCAAACTGAAAACAACTACGGGCCATGTGTTCACAAATTGTCAAGTGACTACGTTCGATTGGCAAGGTTAGAGGGGCAAACTGGGAGAACAACCGCATATTTGATAAAAGATGCTTGAAGTACACTCTAATCCCCACATCTTTACTGGTCAAGCCATTGGACACATCGCTCGCTTCTCAGTAGCCAAGTAATTCCTCAAACAGATGATCCTAACTACTCGTGTGATATCCGCCACCACGGACATCCGCTCAACCAAGATCTTCAAACCGTGCTCTCGCGCGCTGGCTTAAGATAAAAACACCAAACTAATGAGGTGGTCAAATCGAAATAGATAGTACCAGGCGAGGAAAGGTCTTTCAGCAATGTGCTCAATGAAATCGCGCTGTAAATTATATTAGGACCAACCAATACAGCTCATCTGCGTCCAATCGACGTGATGTTCGGCTATTAGGAGCGCTGGCCTCCGTATATATGTCTACATCAAGTCACAAGCAAATGATTCCAAACAGCAAATCATATGGAATCACGGACATGAATCAGAGACAACACGGCTTCAAAAAAGAGACATAAGAGGTGAGGGCGATCGGGATCCCCGGGGTTCACGCTTCTCGGCTTACGTTGACTTAAACCACAGAATAAAATCTCTATCAAAATACCAAAATATTCCCATCATCAAAAAGGAAAATGTCTCACGATTTGCACATGAAAAGTCATCACGGGAGCAGCCAACCATGTGATCATGCGATGTGAAGGGTGAGTGGCGGCCTATTCTAAGTGCTGATCAACCGCTCGTGGCCAAACGGTATCTTCTCCAACTAATAGCCGGAGGGTCTCAGGTTCGAATCCCTTCGGAGACTCATCACCACTGATAATTACAGGTAAGGATGTTTTTCGGCTTTTCAGGAGGATGGAACCCCAACCGAATGTTGAAAACCAAAAGGAACATATAAATTCCTAGCAGTAAACTGCGACGTCCCTGAAACCTCCTATTTGTGCCAGGCAAACACTTTGTAAGCAACCGAAGTCTCCCTCGAACGGAAAACAAACACAAGATAAAAACACCAAACTAATGAGGTGATCAAATCGAAATAGCCAGTACCAGGCGAGGAAAAGTCCTTCAGCAGTGCACTCAATGAAGTCGCACTGTAAATCATATTGGGACCAACCAGTACAGCTCATCCACATTGAGCTCAATACTCAACTCCCCACAGCCATCCACTCGAAAATTCAACACATACATCAAGGAAGAGAAACTCTAGCCAAGAGAAACGACGTTTGGCGATTTTGCCGAGCTCAACAAACAGATCAAAGACGAAGGAATGACGTTTGGTGACAACAGTGATAAAGAGGAACGTCGCACACTTCCTACTTTGCACCCGAATTGATCGGCTCATCTGCATTGAGCTCGATACTCAACTCCCCACATCTATCCACTCGGAAACTAAACACATACATCAAGAAAGAGAAACTCTAGCTAAGAGAAACGAAGTTTGGCGATTTTGCCGAGCTCAGCAAACATATCAAGAACCAAGGAAAGAAGTTTGGTGAAATCAGTGACAAAGAGGAACGTCGCACACTTGCTACTTTGCACCTGAATTGATCAAATCAACTCCTCACCTTTTCATAGGCATCGTATTTGTACGGGTCCATTTCAAAAATGCTATAAGTAGTGGAAGACAGGTTGTCTCGCAAAGGCTGCAAAGGCTCCTGAATATGAAAGAAAACACACGCAGAGAACGTGAAACTTGGAACGACTGGTACAGATGTTTTTGCAAAGGACAAGATAAAGCCGATGATGGATGTGCAGAAAAACATACGGCGGTAGAATTATGAATCGCTTTGTGAATCTTCGTGATTTTTTTCGCGAATGCGTCAAAATGTTTTGGCAATCTGATTACTGGTGAGTGGTCATACCTAATACCTTCAGGAGCCACATGGAAGACTCGGGTTTGGAGCTCTTCCACGACAGGCCATTTCAGCTTCTTAAACTGGCAGCGACGAAGTCGTGTGATGACCAACGTCTGAGACTAGTCACAAGTTGGAAACATCTTGTAATTGGTTTTGACTACATGGTTGCCACGTACGCCGGCTGTCCCAGACTCTGGTTACTATCCTAGCAAAGAGCTGTTTACGCTGTCAAGCAGGTGCGCACGTATTAGCAGTTAGCTGAGCGCGTTGCTAGGTAGGTAAGGAGGAAGTGATGGGGTTGGTGGTGGTCGAGATTGAGAAAGCGGGATTGTTCAGACCGTGATGCTTACGCTAGGTGAGTGATCCACTGGGGAAGCGCCGGAGAGATACTGTACGGTTGACTGTGGTTCCAGGCAAGTCCTAGGTCACCTTCCATCTCCCATCTCTTTCTTCTTGCCACTAAAAGGCCTTATTCAAATAAACCGACATGATTGTATGACAGTGAAGCACAAGTGTTCTCGTCTAGCGTTGCTCTCGACGATCATGGCGACGATAGCGTGGCTTGCACTGAGATCCAGGAAGGAAGTGCCTCAGGAAGCGAGACCAAAACAAGCAATAATCCACTATGAAATTCAATCAAATTGTATGGAATCAAGACCGAAAGCACATTCAGTTGCCTGAAAATATCACAAACGAGAGATTCAACTGGGTTCAAGGTGGGTCCCTCGCAAAAAATTAGTTTGCATATGAGTTTATTTTTCGTTAATTTCGTGCAATTTGGTTTCAAGTAGAAGATAAGGTTGACGGAAAACTCAGGGACTGCGCTTACCTGATGGGCCCCAGAAAGGGCGAAACCGGTCGTGGGCTATCGAAGGATTTTCAGCAACCTTATGAGTAATGCATAACGAGAAAAAGTCGTTCAGCTGTAGCACCTTTTCGGTGCCTAACTGCCATGCCACCCCAAGGCTGCACGAGGTCTGGGATACTGACAGGTTGCCCAAGCCTAGACAGGGGAAGTCGACAGGCAGGGGTCGGGTTCGAACCATGGACCTTCCAGTCAGTGAATTCGCGCTTCAACCACTTGGGCCATCTCGAAATCATTAAAAACCGAAAGTCATGTTTGAAGCTGGAGAAATCCCACATGGATTGCAGCACACGTAGCCCAGGAAGACTAGTGGATATTCTAAAACATGATTTCTTCAAGCTGCTTCAATTTTTGTGTCATTTGTACTATGCCCCCAAAACACGACTCACTGGATTCAAGTGAGAACTGTCCAAATCAGAAGGAAATTAATTCAGTCTGTATTATGAACCAAAATAGTGGGACTGGGAGAAAACACGGTCGTTGCTGACACTCACATACCTGAAGCTGGTCTTCAAACCCCTTGGACTGCTGTTCATAGATGTCCGGTTCACCTTGGTTTTTCCAAAGCCACATAAGGTACTTCTGATAGCATACGAAACCTTGATCATGACGACAGGCACCAACAAGGAGGAGCTGTACATTCAGCTGAACGAGTGAAATAAAGATTGAACGATGTGCATCACAATATAAATAGAAATTGAAATGAACAAAGTGCCCAGTCCTGGTAAGAGACGTAAGACTAGTCTTCTATTCATTCACATGTAATTAGTACGATCTTGAATAACCGCCCAGCTCTTGAACGAACTATGAAGATACCCGGATTGCGGTAGATGCATTCGTCAAGCTGAAGGAGTGGCTAACAACAACGTACCTTGAAGAACCGTCTTAACAAGTGTTGATGACTCCGTGGAAGGACGGGGAATCCTTTGGAATTGGTTAGAAATAAATCGGTCCGGAGCCTCAAACAAACCACCGGCTCACTAAGCCATCGGGCGATTACAGATTCATCGGGAAGGTTACTGGGCACTTCGAGGACAACGCCCAGTGCGTCCGATATATCAGACGCTAAGGTGGACAATCGCATCCACCAGTGCCACGGGGTGTCATCAACAGGACTCCGCGATTGTTTGGAGCTGGGAAGAGTGTCACCATCTGAATATATAAAAACAGGAACCAGTTTTCCAAGCTGACCAACACAGTGTCAAAAACTAAGTGGCACCAAAGGAAGATAGTTTATGAAAAATAACAATCAAACTGGAGAAAATATGAATCCCATGGATGATAGATACAACCAGGGAGGAATCTGAGGGTAACAGTGTTCGGTCCGGTGGATCGTATGAAAGTTTTAGGTGGGTCGCTCTTCCCCCCTTTTAATCACAGGGCTTTAGTGAAGTAAGTTACTATGGTTACACGGAAAGGTTCTCACTCGGGTTTCGCTGTCGATAGTAATGGCTCTAACATGACACCATGAACGCAACTATATCGGTTGAGGCGATCGCCTGGTTGTCTGAAATAAACATGTTTGGAAGTTACTGAATAGCTACTTGTGGACCCATATCACGTCAACTTAGAGACAGAATACGATAAGTTGTCCAACGGATGGAGACTCACTTCAGAAGTTACATCAACATGAAACAGCCCCCATGAAGCAGTGAAGCATTCCTTGCTTGAAGGAAGTTTCTTGTGGAGAAACGGCAGTACGCCGCGGGCTGTGCGCCCAGTGATGCCCAGAGCATTAATGTATCATGAAAAAATTCTGACCGAAAAATTTCTTCTTATGATACGATGTTCCCAGTAAGCAACCAAAAATCTGTACCTAGCCCGACAATCGGAGTGAACTTACACGAAGTAACTATATGACAATGCACATTTCGAGTCTTAAACAGGTGTCAGGTTTGTGTGCCAAGGGGAAACGCATATATCGCACAAAAACTCCAACCAAGTGCCAAATGACGTCGAGCAGGTTTGGCCTGAGTGAGTAAGTGAATGGATAGGTTAAGTGGTACCGACTATCACAGTCTAAAGTCACCCTCTTCCCCCCTTTTAATCACAGGGCTTTAGTGAAGTAAGTTACTATGGTTACACGGAAAGGTTCTCACTCGGGTTTCGCTGTCGATAGTAATGGCTCTAACATGACACCATGAACGCAACTATATCGGTTGAGGCGATCGCCTGGTTGTCTGAAATAAACATGTTTGGAAGTTACTGAATAGCTACTTGTGGACCCATATCATGTCAACTTAGAGACAGAATACGATAAGTTGTCCAACGGATGGAGACTCACTTCAGAAGTTACATCAACATGAAACAGCCCCCATGAAGCAGTGAAACAAGCATTCCTTGAAGGAAGTTTCTTGTGGAGAAACGGCAGTACGCCGTGGGCTGTGCGCCCAGTGATGCCCAGAGCATTAATGTATCATGAAAAAATTCTGACCGAAAAATTTCTTCTTATGATACGATGTTCCCAGTAAGCAACCAAAAATCTGTACCTAGCCCGACAATCGGAGTGAACTTACACGAAGTAACTATATGACAATGCACATTTCGAGTCTTAAACAGGTGTCAGGTTTGTGTGCCAAGGGGAAACGCATATATCGCACAAAAACTCCAACCAAGTGCCAAATGACGTCGAGCAGGTTTGGCCTGAGTGAGTAAGTGAATGGATAGGTTAAGTGGTACCGACTATCACAGTCTAAAGTCACCCACCAGAACCCCAATTTTTTTCCGTTTAATAAACCCATTTGCCTGTCTCGTTATCCGTTTTCGTGATACTAGTAACTCCTCGCACTATAGCATCCCACACCAATCCCAAGTACGGTCCATTACTCCTGCGTTCCTGCGAAGACGCATTTGGCTGATTCAAATGGCTGAAATCCCTACGAACAACGAACGGCTTGAGGCTCTCTTCTGCAAAGGTAGCTGCTTCATAATTGCGAAAAAGCTATTATGTTTAGGTTTGAGGTGATCATATTTTTAACGTAAAAGAGTGCATCTCGTGAATTACCCAACATAACTTCGTTTTATCACCATTTTCATGATTGAATATCCATAGTTAACGAAGTCGGGCAGTGCTGACATACAGGGGCAACCACCTTCGTTCGAACAGTCCTAGTGTTCGTAACATGACGCTACAGACCTGTCGTCATGTGTTCGGAGTTGATAGGCAATCTAGCATACCATGCATGTAATGTGGTTATCACAGTACATACACCCAGATCGGTTTGATGTCCCATTATCGAGGAGGAAAGTTATCCCAGGTAGCGGTCCGATAAGCCATAGTGCATGGATGAGATGTGGAAGCTGTGAATGGAAGAACTTTGAAGACTATCTGTGTTTGACCATCGCTGCCCCCGAAACAGTGGGGGAGGGTCTGGTGGGAACATCCGACCAGTAATGCTGAAGTACGTCAGATGATTTTAAGGGAAGCACACTCTCTTTCTTAATAAATTAGCCGGTCGCACTCCACAGGTTACGCTGGTTGGGCCATGTACATCGTACGCCGTGAGACCATTCGTTTCGTAGGGTCTTCTTCGACCAGCCTTGTGTCGGATGGAAACGACCCAGGAGCGGGCAGTCCATGACATGGCAACGAAGCATGAAAACCCTTACCAGTGAACACAGTCACGTTGATAACTGCCGTCTCTCTGGATGGGGTTAACATGGAGGCGACAAGCCAACGGTTAATGGTTGTGACGGATACGACTGTCACGTAGCCAATGGCTCTAATATATCATAACTATCGTCTTCACTACGTAGCTCTCACTTCCTGCAATACTGGAAATACAAATCCATTTCATGTCAATGAACGGATCGGGCTGTCGCATCCAGTCCATTGTTCTCCTTAGAACTGGAACCAATGAACTTCGGTGCGCGGTTTTCCAGTTGATGGTACCACAGAACACAGCTTTCAACTCGCCCTTCTGTGTAGCAAGTTCTAGCTAGACACGCGGTAAGACCATGAAAACTAATGTGGTTCGATGAAGTCACCAATTTTTGTTTACCTGTTTGAGGTACTTTTCCGAAAAGCAAACTAGGTAACTACTAGTCAACTGACCACGCTGCTATCCGAAAATGTCGACACCTATTCTATCAAGTCTCGTTTGAAATTGGGTGCCAACAAACAGATTGTATTTGTGCTGAGGGAAACAACAGCCAAAGTAAAACGAGATCCGAACTTAAAAAGGACTCAGAGGAAAAAGCACGAACCATTAGCAGTGGACTCCGTCAGCTCATTTTTTTCTATCCACATGGGCAGTGTGATCCAAAGCTTCACCGGGTTGTACTCAGTACGAATAAAGTTTGTCAGCAGTCGAGCAAGCCGAATATTGTTTGGCCTTGTTAGCTGGAGACTGATCGCTGGCAGTCCCAAGTGAACCGCCCAGCTCAATTCCTTCTGAAGTGTTAACTCACTGGATGCTTGTATGACGGAATCTGTCGAGTCCACATCAATGTCGGCTGAGACCTTGCCAACAATCGACCTGACAATGCTCTTTCCTTTGGAGTAAAAGGAGTATGTGAAAAAAAGCAGCCAGACAGCTTACCATCTTTTTGAAAAACGAGATCGGAACGGGTAGATGGAATACTCGAAAAGTCCGGTATTGAAGGATGGCTGAAAACGTTGCTCTTCGGATGAAATAGGTGGGTTGCAATGAACGCGAATCTAAACACGAGATGTAACCAAGCCTCAGAACTAACCCTGAGTCACAAGCAGAACTGTACTGAGATACGAGCTCTCCAGCGAAAACCAGATCAATGCCTACAAGGGCTTTGGCACTCATTGTGCGTAAGGTGAAACGGGTCGGATAGATGATAAGCCTTCAGTCAGAAAGATGGCAGGAAACTGCTACAATGAATAAAAAGTGTGCTGGTTTGTTCACGCGCCCATGTGAAGGATTAGAAGCCGGAAGAGGTATAATTAAATCATAATGGCAAATGTTGCTACCAAGAATGTACTGGCGAATAGTTCCCAGGTTATTTCAACACACTTATTGCCGTTTGCTACTGTCACAGTTTGTATGGCACCAACAGGAGCCGACGATTGTGACGATACACAGGGCTCGTTCAACCATATTAGAGGGGTCGGGTAGATTGCCCTAAAACATACACACTGCCAGGTGAGGGTCTGGTCTCTTACTGATAAGGTCGTGCAACCGAAGTCAATTGCGCTATGATCAGTTTTCATCGATTACCGATTCAACTTCGTTTCTACCAGCAGGTATACCAGTGCTTCATTGCTCTAAGTTACAGGGAATAACCTCGATCTACAAAAGAAAACTGCGCAGGAGAGAGGACGAGTCCGGTTCTACTATTATTACTATTATGAACAGCATGGCATTACCGTTCAACACTGATGCTTCGCTGACCTACAACCATGATCCACTTGGAAGTCCTATTGTGGAGAGAAGAATAAAGGTAGAAAGGGAAGGGATTAATGCTAGCTTACTACAACCATTCCGAGGTGCCTAAAAGTCCAAATACTCATTTGAAGAATCTGGATCGAAACTGATAACAACGGCACCACTGACATCGATCAGCAGCCATATCTCGCACCGTCTCCGACCAGACACAGCGGGGATCAAGCGGTTCTCATCCAGGAAGGCGAGAAGCCCTGACAGAACCCAAACGTTTCGTAATCTCCTTCATACCCCCCCGCCAGGTCAAGGGTTGGCCACCTATCTGCTTCCGCCACTCCGAGTAGGGTATGGAAAATCACAAAAGATGGTTATATATACGCAACACATGTCCCAACCAACTCGGTTCCTTGTGCCGGACACACTCTTCAATGGAAGTTCCTGCTGCACAACCGAAAACTCGCTTTCTAGTTGCCTCGCTACGGATTTTCTGACACGAACCCACAAGAGATATGGTGTTTGGACAAAGGCTGGCGAACACCTGAAGGCGTCTCGATTCAGTCGCTCAAAAAACGGCAGCAATACAACAGAACAACCGCACTGTAGCTTGATACACGTCTCTTGGAATTAAAGGGTACACCACTTGGACGCCACAGGTGTCTCGAATTAGCAAACGTGATCCGAGCCTTGCAGATTAGTGCATTGACCTCATGTCACACTGCAATAGGAGCTAATACAACTTACAAGATGTGTGAAACACCCCACTTTGAGTGCCTCTCCCTGGATTAAAAAAGCCGCTTCAGTGACCACATATACAGGAGCATGAGCCTGAAATATGTGAACAAAATCGTTCAGGTGTAACACCCTTTCGGTGCCTAGCTGCTATGTCATGCGAAGGAGGCACGGGAGTAGGGATACTGCCAGGTTGCCCAAGCCTAGACAGGGGAAGTTGAGAGGCAGAGGTTGGGTTCGAACCACGGACATTCCGGTCAGTGAATTCGCGCTCTGACTCCTGAGCCATCTCGCCGCCGACAGCAGTACGCCAATATTAGATTGCTGCGCCTGACTACAAAAACCCGTCCACAGAAACCTAGTGACGAGAAACACTCACCCATCAGCACGCCGTGCTGAATGTCCCTCAACACAGACGTGTCCTCATTGAGGGACACCGCAATTGTCGCCACAGCTTGGTTTCAATTAAATGGCCTCTGATTTTTTAGTGCATGAGCATCTCTAGCTAGTTTCAACCCTATGCGTGGATGCGGGAAAAGGGCGAAGTCGACCGACCGGATCCTGAAGTACTTGACAAAGCCAGCTCAACTAATGGAATGTAACGATCCAGACAACGTACTCCAGCATTAGGGATTCGATATCCCCAAAAACTCAGAAAATGCTTCCAATACAAAGATAACCAAACACCGCGCCAAACGGGAACCTACCCGAAAACCACCCAGGCGCTCGCAATTAGGCGCTGCAACAGCCAAGAGCCCAACTCGCACGTGATTGGTCGTGCTGTATGCACGCTACGGAAGCGCCAGGGAACAGTGCTTCTCCGAAGCCAGGGGTTTACCAGGGTGGTTAAGAGACTTAATGGTTCATTATAATTTCCGTAAAGAGGAGACGGAAAGAAATATGATAAACGAAAGCCCAGTAAGCAACCTTGTATATCACCAATTATTACACATAAACCAACCAAACCACAGACACTGTATACTACAGTCGAAATAAGGTTTCGTTGAAAACTCCAACATCAAGTTGGGCTATGGTTGTTCGAAGATATCAACTCAACTGTATGCCAATCCTTAGAGGCTTCCTTTGCATCCTTTGCTCCCGTCTGCAAAACCTTCGTGAGTGGATAAAAATATTTAAGCCACAGCATTGCACTTTGTTGTATCTATGCTCAATCAAAAAATGACCCTAATCGACACACATTCTGTCTTGACAGGTTTTAATTAATCTAAATTCTAAACTTTTGGCGCTGATTTCAAATGGAGCCTGTGTAACGCATTTGAAACCCAACTGTGCCTGATTGTATGCCTATCATATGACATTATGTGTAGCTCTCCCTCCCTCTCTTCCCCTATTACAGGTACCACGGACGAGGCACCACGGGCCCTGGACAGGGAAGAGTATCCTGCTTGCACACCCCCCTGACTGACCTTGACCGGCCCCTTTGATTGTACACTCTCTTCTTCCGGTTTCGGTCCGGGTTAATACACGTGCGTTGTTGCTACACTCCGGTCTTCTTCCCTGTACCGCCCGACCTGTGCGCATGTGTGCTGTGTATACTGTGTGGATTCATTAATACCAGTCCGTATATCTGCACATTTCAGAACTGACGTTTGCCGTCCACTCGAACGTCGAATACCGCTGACTTCCTGACATCCCACGCTACACCTGGTATATTTTTTCCAATGTAGTGGCCCCGCATATTTTGTTGGTAACTGAAGCTGTATTCTTTTCGTCTCTCACGGGTTTTGAATTGTTAGATAAATACTTGTAGTTTGTGGGTGGAATCTGTGCGTTCATCCAGTAATGAAAAGTACAACGGTGTTTTGTATTACGAATGAGGGTACTACATATGCAACAGGAGGTTTGAAACACAAACAGGATGTCGGAGAATCCGATGAAGCTAGTAAGCTGAGTGAATTTGCTACAAACAGACAGTTCGTGAAGCGTCGGCCATCCAGTGCTTTTAGTCTAAGGACGTAGTGGAACCATAAGATTTCCGGTAAATTGTCAGCTAACGGAAGGGGGGTTAAACGCCTGCATGGCCTTGCTAAGATATGGAACTTCGTTGTGTGAAGTTTCGCCGTTTTTGGCCGACAAATTTTGGCTTGGCTATTACCATCGAGGACACGTAACAACCGCCACCAAAAGTGCCGGTCACCTCTGTCGAATAAGTTAAGCATTGTTGGGTTTTACTGTGGCGGACGATATTTCTTCTACCCTAGTGAGACTTCGGGAGAACCGACGCGGTTTTTTTGCGCTGCGGTCAGGGGAAGGCCACTATAACCAGATGCGCCTCACCAGATGCCAGCAGGTGTCTCTGTTTGGACGCTCCTCGGATATGGTAAATATCGGCGGAACAGACGCGACAAAACGCTTTGGGTGGCTTTTTTGGAGAGACTAATATTTGGTCTGTAGACGCAAGCTCCACGCCTTCCTGATCGAGAATGTCATGGGCACCGAACGTCCGGTTATGTATGCCTTCGTAAGAAGCGAACAGTTCTCTCCCAGGCATAAACCGTTCGGCTTATTTGGTAAAATGATGAGCAAGCGGTATCAAGTGGACATTTTTGTAATGGACACGTTAGGTCAGCGCTTGACTTCGACGATACTTTGTGCTACTCTCATGTTGGAAAGTTATAAGGAATCACGCAAGATCACATAACCTCCATGCGTTTTTCGTTAAAGAAAGCCCTGCGGACAGCCGGCACATGGCTCGCCTGGGCAATGCCCTAAAGTGAGTGTTTTGTTTAGTATAATATGGGTGCATAGATTTCGACAAGCTGCTGCACCGACGGACCTGCGATCTGCCCCTTACCTACGGCCCAATGGTTGTACAAAACGCGCAGATGGGCTGTGAACGCACAATTATGGTTGATCCACTTTGGTAATGTCACCAGCGACCTTCTGCAGAATCATCGTCATTACCAGCTGTACAATCCGCGTACTTGTCGTACAGTGGGTGTAGCTGCCACGGTTTCATTCATCGATGATTGGGGGGTAGGTAGCTGCGCACTACATGCATGATTGGGATATATCTGACATTGTCTCCTATCATTGATGTGGCTCGATTCTGATCCCCACCCAGAAGACGGCAATGACAAGCGAAGCTGGGTTTCCGATCCGGTGCTTCCACCAGCCACAGGCAAGATATCGAGGATATCGACGTTCGAACACTGAAAATTTTTTACAACTTCGAAGTACAACGGCCAGGTTCCTGATACGTATAATAATATGGAGCGCAAAGGTGTATTGTAAGCTAGACCCTTCACGGATAAGCTCGTGTCATGCCATCGACACAGGTGACGCAGGTACAGAAAGGCTGATCTAGCCTTCCATATCTGGAGGAGAATATAATCTTTCGCGTGACCGCCAGGATTGATAGAGATATCCAGGTATACGAACCTGTTTACTACCTCAATCGGTTCATCCGCAAGCATGAGGCTGAGTTTCGAGCACGTTCATTCTTGCAGTAGCAGTTTACACTTTGCAGGAAGTATTTAGATTACTTAATATCTTAATAATTTCCATAGGGTCAAACCAACGAAGAGCTATATCGTCTGCTTACTCGATATGTGTGAGTGGACGCTCAGGGACCACTTTGACCGCACAAGTATGAGAGTCTCATAGTGGGCCTTCATGACTGCAGCAATGAGGAATTCGAAGAGGAAAGATGAAAGAGGACAGCCCTGTCTGTTCCACTTGATGTGCTGAACCCAGGCCAGAGTATCCTCTTGCAGGACTGAGCCCAGCTTTGTTTTCACGAAACTGTCTCTCCCTTTCTGTGTTCGGTCAACCTTCAAAGGATAAGGCTAGAGAGCACCTTCGATGACACAGCTAAAATGATGATGTCACGGAGGTTTTCACTCAGCGTCCGCGTACCCCTTTTGAAGATTGGAATAACTGTCGACCTGCCCCCATCCCCATGCACTTTCTCTTTGTTCCATATGATACGAAGAAGTTTTAGAGATGGCTTTCCAGGGAATCGCCGCCCTCTTTGTAGGTAAGTGTGTACAGACTGTCCGGTATTGATGACCTCTCACGTTTTAGCATGAACATTTTGTACGTTCATTCATTTTTCCGACGGGCGATCGATGACTAATTTTCACTCGCATGTATGCATTATCCCCACAGGCTGTGTTGCAGGAGGCCAGCTTAACTGCCCTCCGGAAGTGTTCGTCCCATCTTTCCAGTAAATGTTTTTGCAACTGAGGTAATGAGCCATCTTTTTTATTTATCGTTTTGCGGCCACTCGCCCGTATCAACCGATATAGGGCCTTGCTGTTTTCCGTAACAAAAGCCCTCTGAATCTACCGAGTTTGGACGTCCACAATGACGCTCGTTCTTCCCTTAGGCCCTCAACTGTTTGGCATTTGAGAAATTCACGTGCGTTGCTTAATGGCATGGCTTTCCTGGCATCGATCAGGGATAGAGATCTCGACGACATTCATGGGTCTTGCGGTCAAATCGGAGAAGTCGGACTGATAGCAGTGAACCCCGCTAACATCAATCCTTTCACATTCTGCCACGCTTTGTTCACATGCTTACTGCCACCACAGTATTGGTTTACTGTGGAGAGTTATTAGGCCAGCTTGGGTCAATACTGTTGAACTATAGTAGTTCTTTGAAGACAATGGATTGGCATACTGCATGCTTAGTTGCAAGGGCCTAGAGGGAAGCATACCGTTGGACGTGCAATCACCATGGCGTAATCGGAATCAAGTGGTGTGCCTCAGAAGGAACGGCAGTCTTGAAACGTGGCTGTTCAATGGTGGCTGATAGCCACATTGTCCAACTGGGTCCACGGTTGATTCCCAGCTGATGGCCATCAGGTTACACGGTGTGAAGGTTTATGCTGGAAGTTCTGTTTGCCAGAAACAGTTCATCGTCTGCATATAACTGGAGAACTCGATCTTTGTTGCCTGTGTGGCAGGCACTGACACTAAGTTGGCCGCCCAAGTGTGATTCTAAGGAGCTAGGAAAGCCAACGTAAACACTCATATCGCCTGCAAGGATCACAATGTCAGCGCTTTTTGCATGACGAATGAGCCAGGGTAGATCTCGATAGAACGTATCCTTTCCGTATCAGAACTGCAGTCCGTTGAGGCATAAACCGACATGACAAATAGGCACCGCTTTTATGCCGAGAGGTCTTGGGCTTGATTGAACTAAATAACCGGATGACGCAAAGACGAGTGTTACCTGGGATTGAATGCAGCAAAGCGAGTTCAGCTCTGGGGCTGAGTGAGACTACCACGCCTTATTTTCCTCAAGTCATCGCTTCTGGGTCACCGGACACACGGAATGGGAAACGTTAAACAGCTGAGTTCATTCTTGGAGTTCTGGGACCATGAACACCAAGCTACGCGGGTAAATGAACTCCCCGCTCGCTCATGCCGAGGAGGCGTTTGGTTCAAAAGTCTGACCTTCAAGGTAGTGGGAGTTTGTAGGGTTTCGTTCAGGGACCCTGCTCCTAGTCTCTGAATAAAAAATCTGACCCACGAGACAGCGGACAGTACGGTTTATTTTGGATATCTTGCCCGGAGTCGACGGCTTAATAGCCTGAACTGTTTGGATGCATGGGGTTCGGCCTAACCCAATGCTGCAGGAAATGAGGCATTACTGTCTCACTCCTGATGCGGCTGCGCACAGCAGATGCCTTTTAAGAAGCACAGGACTCTTTGTTTCCAAAAGCATTTTGACTGTGTTGAATATTGCGCCGGCGGTGACGGTCAACCCTCGGGCGATAGGAATGTGCAGGTTTCGGGGCTGACCCTTTCTAACCCTTCCATCCTCGGGGGAAGGCAGCATCGCCGCTTCCATAAATATTGATATGCCGTTCGCCTGGGGGAAATGTTTTACTGCCCTCACTATCCTGTCACAGAGGAGTGTGTGACCTTACCCCAAGACCACCTCGTAGCACGATTTTTCGTAGCACGGAGTATCGCTGCTCTTGGACTGATTGTTCCACTTTGGCCTTCGGGCATGGTTACAGCATGTGTAACGACGTTCCAACACAACCACCACGTCAAGGTGACAGTTTTTGTTTGTGCTTCTGCAGAATGAAAATTCGCGCCTGGGGTAACCGGTTCACCACTCAAATACATTGGAACACACTGTACAGGTGTCTCGGCACGCCGAGTGGCTCCTGCGGGGATGAGATGCATACGTTATACCATTGCGACCAAAAGGAACTCATTGAGGTTGATGGCTACGTTCTCAGCATTGTCTACAGAATGTTTACGTGTGCATGTCCACTAGTTGTCTAGACCTCGATCCCCAAGACGGTGGAAAAATCCAGGCCCTCCGAGATAGTCGACATCCATTCTGGAGTGTGCACATGCCATTCTACCCTCCAATGATGTTGGGTATCGTATTACAGCCTACCGGAACGTGGTATGCTACTTGTGTATGTTCCAAAGGCA